TTTCCTGAAATATTAACCGCCTAAATCAAAGCATACGAATTATGGATTTTCATTTCCTTTTGAGCTGATCTGATTTTTCCTTTCGGCATTCCCAGAGCCCCACTCCTGGGAAATTAACTGAAAGCCAAAGTAAGCAGCCTTAATGGCACACATTTCGGTTTTATTGTCTCGATTACAATCTCTTAAATGTCGTTCCTGTTATTAACGCAAATAGATTCGGGGAGGAAATTCATTTTCTTCTCTTATTTCAATTATTTTTCGCAGTAAAGTAATTATTTTAGGTTTACTTTTTGATAAAGTCAATTTAATATTTTTAGTAGAACAATATTAAGTTAATAATAATAATTCTTTGACTAAAAAACGCACAAAATTATGCCATTAATTTGATTAAAATTGCATGATGAATAACAGTGTACATATTATTATATGATGTGCGGTTATTGATTTAATTTAATATTGTTTAAACATAATAATAATAATAATGTTGTTTAATGAGATTTGATGAAAATTGTTAGATAAGTTAATTAACTAAGAGTGTATAAACTTACTTTGCAATGTGAAGATTTGTTTAAAATTATTAGATTAATCATTTATGAATAAAACATCTTACGTTCTTTATTAAGAAAAAAAAAATGTGTTCTGGGCGCCAGCTAACCCCGTTCCTGCCACACCGCTATTTGTTTTCAAAGTCTCCAATTTTCCTCTAATAATATGCTCCAGCTAGCTACCAAAAAATAAATTAAATTTAAATGACAATCAACTTAGAACGTACCGTTTCACAATCAAACGTGATCCTCTTAGGTCAGATGTGCGTTCGAGATTTTTTAAGTATTTAAGTTTCCATGAAAATGTATTTAACATTATTGTGATATCTTAGTTCACAGTGCCAACAGTTTAACAAGGATGATATTAATTAGGTAAGTACCATAAAACCACATATTAATATTGAGAAAGTTTTCCATCAATACACAAACATAAAATAATGGTCTGGAGACCCAAATTTCTAGAAGTTTTCCAGAAGAATCCAAAAAATGAGTCTCAGCAAGTAATGTAGATGTTCTTTATTATCGATATGGGTATGTCAATTATTAGATGTTCACTATGTAGCAACTTTTTGAAGACTTACTTCAATTTTCACGGAAATTGCTTTTATTAAAACTCCATATGGTTAATATGAAAACCACTGCCTTTTAAAAGAATTATAAAAGTTGTTAAATTATGTTTAGTTGTCAAATCAAAAAAACAGAAACGAAGAAGTGACTATTTTGACAGATAAAAAAATAATTATGTAAAAAATTAATGAAATTCCATTTAAAATAGGATTTTTTTTAATTCATAAAAAATATTACTTGGAATAGAATGCTTTAGAGTGAAGAAATTTCAATGACAACACTTTGTTGATCGACACATATTTGATGAAAGTGACAAGCGAGGAGTTATTATTAATGACAAACCAACTCTGAAAACATTTTTCAGCAATTTATGATTCGTGCCAGCGTCTCATTCAAGCGGATCTGGAAAGTAATTAAAAAATAAGCTGTCGTTACTGTTGAAAGGACATTTTCATAAGGAAATTAGTTCAGGTGGTATGACGAAAATCTCAGTAATATTACACAAAATTTATTACATTTACCCATCACAGAAGACAAAAGTCAGTCTGACTTTAGAAAAAAGCATTTGATCACTGAGTAAGTGCACCGATCGTCAGAAGAAAGAAAAGTATGACACGAGGTACTTCATTATATACAGGGTGTTCAACTAGTGCGTAATTATTTAAAATTTCAATTTGTGATACAGACACGGAAACAAGTTTTAAATAAAAGTTATATGGATTTAAAATATACGTATTTAAAAAATATTTTTTGCGTTTATTGCCTGGCAAATAAAAATTTATATTTTTTAAATTGAATACCCTGTATTTTTTTTTCAGTTTTAGAATGATTTCTTACCGGCAAACGAAGCAATTTGTGATAGATGTAATTTTGACTCAATCGTCTTAGTTTGATCTCACCAACATACAGTTGCTCTATGTACACAGAATTTTGCCACACCCTGTATTTTTTTTGTTCCTGGGGTAATTTCTGTTAATCGAAACTAGAGCTACCAGTGAGAAAGTCTAATGTTTTGGATGATAAGCCTATGAATTCCAAATAATTATTGATTATCCACATCATGCTGCCAGAAGAGATAAAATATGTGTTGATAGATCACGGGGGAGAGGGTCATTTAAAGGGGTCTTTTAATTTATTGTTTATTATTATCAACATAAGCGTAAATTAAGTTTTTCCTAATTTTCCAATATATTTCCAACATTTCCAAACGTGCTTAGATAATGAAACGAGGTTTTTATTTCTTAGTACATGTCTTCTTGGTTCATTTTAATGTTTAAAAAAAAAACAATCAAGTAAGTGTTACAGAAATATGCCGCACCGTTGAAAGAACAAAATCTAAGATAATGAACACAAGATTTCACTAGAAAAAGATGTATATTCATTGTAGAAACCACAAACGGTGAGAAAACTTTTACGTAGAGTGCTCGAATACATATATGGAATCCAACTGAGTTCTTCGCGACAATCTATAAAAGATGATGGAAATTGGATACGTCACTATATACCTACGACTATTAAAAAAACAAAATAGTAGGCTAAAAGGTATTAAATCTATTAACTAGTAATGATTTGGAATTATTTTATCATTTTATTGTAAAGAAAAACAGAAAATCGTATAATATTTCTAGTATTTGTACAACATCTAATAACTAAATAAAAAATGAGTCCTAATTTTCATCATTATAGTAATTTTTCTTACTTTAAAACGCGTTAAAAACTTATTTAAAAAAAAATAAGTATAAAAAATACGTTTACCGCTCCTACTAAATACACGTCTGGCACGGTTTTATTACTAGTTAATGGATTTTTGAAGTGGCAGCTTTTGAAGCTACCCTAGATGGAAACTTAAAAATTTCAGTTTGTAAAGTAACATTGCTACTTTGCATGTAAATGTAGCAACTACATAGATCTGTAAAGAATACGCTTTACGTGTCAGATTACATTTGGACAGCGTATAATTTGGTTAGAAGTTAATTTCAGGAAGCAAAATTTAAAGCGCACGATGTAGAATTAAAACTAACTTTGAGAAAATCTCCGTTAACACTAAGTTTTATGAACAAAACCTGAAAATGTTTATTCTTTTAGATACAAGTAAGTGAGCATTTATAAAGGTGCAGCTAAAATAATTTTTTGGTCTCCAATATTTATAAATGACTCACAGTTATGTAAAAATTCCTAAAGATTTAATTAGAGACAACATCAATGTTTTGATTACATTTAAATAAGATGATATGAATTTAAAACATATCTACAACGATCGTGTCGGAAAAAATAGGATATTTGATCAATTCCAGAATATTTGTTCTTCCTGTTGGCAAACAAAGTGTGAATTTCTATCAATTTTTAAAGATAATGATAGTGTTAATGTATATGGCCTATAGCATAAATAATACTTTCTAACTTTTCTATATAACATATTTTGGTTTATGTCTTACAATAAACGAAAACTTCTAAGTTTATTTGTGTTAGTAAAGTTTACATAAACTGCATGATTATTATAGGTTTGTTCCAACTTGATACATAACCATTCAGTAACGGTACAGCACATGCGTATTACACTGCAAGCCTTCCAACTTAATTTGTACGATGTGCGGGTTGATACAGAATTCGTTCCAACTAAAAAATGTATGATTCCGGAATCGTTTCTGTACCGTCATATCGATTCACAAATTTTTGTGGAACCGTTAAACCTGACTTGCGCAAAGCGACCGATATATGTTGATAGAGGTTAGTTTTAATTACCTTAACCTACAAATTTACAGCGTTCTAATAGGTAGATAAGAATAAAATATACATTTTTATTTAAAAAATACTGTTAAATTATATTTATTTGGAAAATGAGTGATATGGAAGGAGACAGTTATTTTTTTGATGGTGATACTAGGGACGATGGTATGGTATGGATTAATGGTAAATCAAGAAAGGATGAAAAACAAAAATTATTTGCACATAATATATTCATTATTTACCATTATTTTCCATTGTGCCCCAGAGTATAGAATGATAAAATAAAAAATCATTAACATCCATAATTATAAAACAGATTACTATTTTATTTACTTTTCGAAAAGTTTGGTTAAAATTTTTTTCCTTTTATTTTCTCTATTTATGTACCATCAATAGTTTTAAAAGCGTTCCAACTCATTTTCGATTCCAAAACCATTCAGAGATGCGCTTGCGCAGTACATCGTTCATGAACTGATGTTGGTATGATACAAGAACGGTACCAAACACCAAGTTGGAACAAACCTTATATTTTTAAGGTAATTATATTTTTCTTGCTTTGGTCTCTTCAGGTACATCATCTTCATTTTGAGCATCTCCTTTTTTGCCATATTCCTTTTTATGTATTTCTTCTTATTTTAATCTTCTAACTTCTCATCACTGTCTTCTACTTCTGCTTTTTCTTTCAACCATATCTATTTTGTACACCTCTCAATAAACTGCATATTAAGACTAATAACTTTATTGTTAATCAATATATTATAACCTGTATACCGCTTTCTAATTTAATTTAATGACCTGAGTTCCTTAGGAATTCTTACAAATGCAATACTACCATATAAATGTAAATTTGACACCTTAGGCTTTTTATTAAAGAAAATTTTAAAAGAAGTTTTATTAAATTTTGTATTTGCAAGTAAACGATTACCTATACATATATGTAGCTGTATAAATACATTCAGGCCAGTAATAATAATCTATTTTAGATTATTCCAACAAACATCTAGCTCGATTCATAATAACCCTCACATAATAAATTTTTTTAATTAAATTTAATAAGTTTTCTTTCAACTTCAAATTGTATAATAATATCCCCTAATAACTGAACTTTTAGTATAAAACCGCCACCTACCTTAATATTAACAGGAATTTCTAAGTTATTACTTTCATGGAAATATTTTTCACAATTTATTATGTGGTCTGAACGTCCACTATCTAGTAACCATTCAATACAATGTTCATTTAATTCTTCCTCATTCATAGTGGCAGTTAATACTTCTACGTTAAATGCATTATTTTGATCAGCAGACAAGTCTTCTTCTTCTAAAGTTGCATTCGATAACCCTTGAACTGCTTCCATATCTATTTCTTGTAAAATTTCCTATCCAGTTTAAATTAGTTCTGCAATACTTTTGTGTGTCCTAACATCTGACACCTATAACATTTTTTTGACCCATACTTATTTCCTTCACATCCATTATTAGTGGCTTCATTCAGGTTTTGACTGTTACTTTGGATATTTTTGTTTGAGTTGAATTTTCTGTAACGGTTAGTTGTAAAAACTTGAATAATTCACACTGATTTTCCTTTTTTTAATTCTAAAATTAGTTTCTATTAAACTTATTGTTTGTTCTAATTATAACTACTGTCGAAATCAAGCAAACTTCTTACTGGCTATTTACAGGGAAATAACTTCCCTAGTTTACCCTATAGTCATTTAAAATAGGACAAGCTCTGGAGCCCTTTAAACAATCGGGTATTTCTTTCATGTATATAATCATTTTGAATTTCATCGATTGCATCAATACACAGACACTCATGTTTTCTCAACCAATCACACTAATTTTGCGCAATCTCGTTCATCGCCACATGATGGTTTATATCAATATTTTGATGAGTAAGTACAACAGACTATCCAGAATGTGAAGCATCAGTTATGCTCATTTGGCAACATCCAAAATTACCACTCATAAACGATTGTAATTGAATGTGCGAATTCGCCATTATTAATTAATTTAACTTGACTTGATTTTACCTTCTATACATATTTTGTGATTAAGATAAAAATCAAAAACTAACATAGGTTTTATTCGGGATTTGAAACAAACTGTCCTAAATCCAGTGGAACAGTTGAAAAGCAAATTATTCGTTATGTACAACTTTTAAAGAGCTCACTGGTCAATTAATCCTCTGATAATTCTTAACATATTCTTAAAAAACCCCAAGAAAAATATATAACTTAAATGAAAGTATCATCTCATCAGGGTTCTGTAAATGTTTTAAATTTTTCATAAACTGTATTATTTTATTTTATTATTCTTCAAACAATTAATAACAGAGAAAAAAATTTTTTTTGTAAAAAGTTGTGTATATTATTTCTAATAAACACATTTTGCACATGATTTAACTTTTCTCATTTTAAAGCTTCGTAAATGTTAGTTTAACTTTACTCATTAAGTGTTATTTTGTATTTTTTCTCGATGAGCAGAACTTTCATTAGCAGGTTTACTAACACGAAAATATTTCAAACTACGTTTTAGTTTTACATATTCTAAACTAGTTGAAAATTTGTATTGCAATACAATTATTACTTTAGGCGTATGTATAACACAAACAAAATTATTTTTTCAAAAATTGTAGAGAAATTATTTTGTTGTTATTAAACGTTGAAATAAAAAATAAACTTTAGAGAACTTGATATTACAGTAAAAAATGAAAATAAAACAATTTATAAAATTAAGTATTTTTAATAAACTAACCCATATTTACAATATTTCAAAAAAAATATTAAAAATACCTTTTTTCAATTAGATAGAAGCAAATATAATATCTTGTTGAGTTCACAAAAGAAGGTTTTTTCTTCAGTGATACTGAAGCTTGTGATGCGCGCAAGCCTGCCAGCTGAACAGATTTGAAAAATTCTTCTTTTTTCACATAATAGAATAACTTTTAATAGTATTATTGTATTAGGCGATGACTACTGCAATGTGAATGGGCCGCCATTTCGCTATGTTCACTTGCTTTTTTGATATTATCAACCTTATAATTATTAAGCTTTATTAAGCTATGTATAATATTTTAGTAAAATGTTCAATGGGTTTTTTTTTCAGGTTTAATATTACTGAAATTGTGAAAGACGACAAATACGTAATATTCTGAAAAAATATATCTAAATTGGATTTTTATACAGCCGTTACCACACCCTTAGCAGAAATATATACAAAGTCAAAAACAGCGATCTCATTCAGCATAAAAACAAGATGAACACCTATAAAAGGACTGACAAATTACACTTTTACACTTACGTAGATAGGAAAATAAAGAAAATGAAAGAAAATGAGATTGTTACTGAGAAACCAGAAACGGAGAAATATTAAGGAAGGAAATTTGAAGGACCTATTCATGAAATTCAAATAATTATTTAGGCGTCTTTTTTGGACGAACAAGGAAGCGGGAACTTATTTAAATTATTTTTGGTCAATTTGATAAAGTTTTTAGAAGTTTTAACTGTGATTTAGATCTTTTGCTGAAGAGAAGCGATTTGAATAAAATTGTTTTATTTAAGATTTTCATTTATTTTTTACTTTTTCATAAGAATTATATTATTATATAAGTAAATCACGATGACATTATTAGTAAGGACGTTAGGTTCTAAAAATGCATGAAATACAAGTTTTTTCCTGAAATAATAAATAACTGTTTTACAAATTATTATTATTATTATTAATTATTATTATATTTATTTTTATATTTATAATCAGTGTTTATTTCATTTTGTATTGATTTAATTAAATACATACAGATTTATTATTTGTTTATTTGAACAATATTTTAGTGTAGTATGAAAATGTATTCCTATTATTACATGAATGTGATCTGAATGATTATCATACATCATCACATTTATAGCTTTAAGACAATCAATTTACCATGTACCTAATAATAATCAGTCTGCTATTAACCAGTGTAGAATATTATAAATGATTCTAGATTATTTTAATAAAATTTCAAACATTCGTTAGTGAAACAAAATACAATATTTTCAATTTTTAAATTTTTAATGATCAATTATATTTTATTAATGATTTTTACATCATTCTAGACGTTTCTAAACGATTATAAATGATTCTAGATTCTTGTAAATGATTCTAGACAACTCTAGACGATATCAAACAACTCTAGACAATTCTAGATGATTACCGATGATTTTTAATGACTTTATTATTCTAGAATATTATAAATGATTCGTAGATTAGTTTATTAAAATTTTAAACTTTCGCTTGTACAATGAATTACAATTCATTTAAACGATTTTAAATTTTCTTTTATGACGATTTTAGATGATTTCATATGATTTTATGTGATTTTATATGATTTTATATGATTTTATATGATTTTATATGATTTTATACGATTTTATATGATTTTATATGATTTTATATGATTTTATATGATTTTATATGATTTTATATGATTTTATATGATTTTATATGATTTTATATGATTTTATATGATTTCATATGATTTTATATGATTTTATATGATTTTATATGATTTTATATGATTTTATATGATTTTATATGATTTTATATGATTTTATATGATTTTATATGATTTTATATGATTTTATATGATTTTATATGATTTTATATGATTTTATATGATTTTATATGATTTTATATGATTTTATATGATTTTATATGATTTTATATGATTTTATATGATTTTATATGATTTTATATGATTTTATATGATTTTATATGATTTTATATGATTTTATATGATTTTATATGATTTTGTATGATTTTATATGATTTTATATGATTTTATATGATTTTATTTGATTTTATATGATTTTATATGATTTTATATGATATGATTTTATATGATTTTATATGATTTTATATGATTTTATATGATTTTATATTATTTTATATGATTTTATATGATTTTATATATTTATATGATTTTATATGATTTTATATGATTTTATATGATTTTATATGATTTTATATGATTTTATATGATTTTATATGATTTTATATGATTTTATATGATTTTATATGATTTTATATGATTTTATATGATTTTATATGATTTTATATGATTTTATATGATTTTATATGATTTTATATGATTTTATATGATTTTATATGATTTTATATGATTTTTATATGATTTTATATGATTTTATATGATTTTATATGATTTTATATGATTTTATATGATTTTATATGATTTTATATGATTTTATATGATTTTATATGATTTTATATGATTTTATATGATTTTATATGATTTTATATGATTTTATATGATTTTATATGATTTTATATGATTTTATATGATTTTATATGATTTTATATGATTTTATATGATTTTATATGATTTTATATGATTTTATATGATTTTATATGATTTTATATGATTTTATATGATTTTATATGATTTTATATGATTGATTTTATATGATTATTGTTGAAAATGTTTTGAATTCATTAGGATGTAATAAAGAAGCAGCAACTATTGTAATTGTAAAATTAGATAAAGCGAGTTAGAATGTAATTTTTAACTATATTTTTTGGAGTTTGAAAGTTTTAGGTTAAAAATTATAAAACATCGAAATATTTAAGTATAATAATTTATAAACCTATTTTGTAATAGATTTTTTGTAAATTTATGAATTAAAAAAATGTATTATCGTAAATTGGTTATATATTTTTTCAACCCGTTAAAATTTTGATGTTGAATCAAATATAAGAACAGTGTTTAATCTTAAACTGATAACTGAAGTAAGAACATATTTTGTTTATTTTAAAAAATAATACCTGCAGAATTATAGACAGTAAAAAAAGATAGGTAAAACATATACAGGCGATCCGATTGATTTCATAACATAAATAAATTAACAAAATAAATAAAATAAAAACAGTACGATATATTCGCATCACTCATACACCTGTGTCGATTTTGGATAAAAATTTCAAACCAATATTAAAAAAAAGTATTTTTGAATATCCCATGGGATTATAAGACCTCTGTCGAAACGACAACATCCATGTATCCATGTATATTTGTTAGTGGCCATGTACACGTGTAACATATGTGTCTGTGTGTAAAGCATGCATACAAATACCTAGTTACGATTTTCGAGTAACACGTGTTGTAATATTGATGCAATTTCGTTTAAAAACTATGAAAAAGTTTATTCGCGAATGTGTCGCTGAATGTCATAGAGAAATTTTACTGAAAATAATTGGTCATTTGTATATCAGCGATGACAACGGTATTGGTAAATACGTGAAATATTAACAGTATAAATCGAAATTTTCATCGGGCGGATATTAATGGGTGTTGGAACAACGGATGATAGAAGGTGAAATCTATTCTGAAGAATATAAATTAGTTTTTTGTTAGAGGAATTATAGAAATGATTAAACAACTAGAACTAACATAAAAATTGAATGTGAACCTTCGCAAACATTCAAAATCAGTTCTCTAAAAGTGGAAATAAATTTAAAATAATTATATCAAATGTAGCAAAAAATGGAAAAAATTATAAAAATTAAATAAATAAATTCACATAAAAATATAAAATATCGGAACATCAGGTTTTAAAAATTAAAAATCGATAGAAGACGCAATATAAATCATCTGATATCTATAAATCACTATAGACTCAAACAAACCTACTGTAGATATTTTTGTCGATCTTTTAAAAGCCTTTAACACGGTATGAAAAATATCGGGATTAGCGCAAATGCATATGATTTGTTGAAAAGATACAATTCACAAGGCGTAGTGCAAAGTGAAAAGTTATTAAAAAAATTCAGTTTTGTCTAAGCAACTTGTTTTTATAAAGATTTTTTTTTATGTAACAATGTCATTGCCGTAATTGAACAAGGCTTGGACATTTCTTTACTTTAATAATCTCTATACTAAATTAACACTAACATTTTAGGAATAAGCAAAAATTGTATATATATATATATAATTAAAAAACCTTATGCACTCTTAAGTTAAAAAAAAAATAAATTAACATTTGGTTAATAACGGAAACTAAATTTCTACGTTGTTTCAATATTAATTATTTAAGTATATTTTAATATTGGGTATTTGCTTCAAGTAAAATACTATTTATCCATAAAATAAAAATTAATAGGTTTTGGTTATTGCTTTCATCTATAATTTAAAAAACTCAAAAATATTTAAATGAAAAATAAGCTTCTTAAATAAAATCAACCGGTAATTAATTTTAAATGAAATACATAATACTACTGCAAATTTACAGCTTTCAACAACGAGATAATAATAATAATAATATGTATATAGTAGGCAATAATTTCTATAAAATAAATATAAATACCAGAGATATATATTTTTGCTGAAAATTAAATTTTATAAAACATAATGATCATCAATTTTGAGTTCGAATCAATAAACTGCTATCCACAATACCGATTTAATTAAAGCAAAATTCAGTAAAATAGAAAATTTACAAATACAAAATGTGTAATTACTGCCTTTATAAAACGATGCATAAAGGCGCTTTAATATTACACCTATTTCATTGTTTCTGAAAAACTGCTAATTGGAGAGGCTGGTAATGCCTTTTTTAATGATAATGGGAATATTTGGATTTTGGTGAGATAATAAGTAATTATAATTTAAACTTAGTGCTAATTTCCTAAATATATTTAATTGAGTTGAATTTATATTTTTGTCTTTTATGAATTTTAGATGATTCCAATAATTCCGGTTTGAAACAAATCTCAAGAAATGTAATTTTTTATTATAATAAAACTGATAACAACGGGTTTTCTCAGCAGTAAAATAAAAATAAACATTAAAAATGTATGTTTCTACATCTAAAACACGTTCTGCCATTATTACAATTATTGATCATGTTTAGACTTAATGAGATGTTATAATTGAACATTTGTTTATTAATATATGATTCATAAAAAATTATTTTAAAAACTCACTACATATTTAAATAAATTTAATTTGTTTAATGATAAAGGTAAAATAAATTATGCAAAATGTTTTCTTTTATTTTAATATATTAAAAAAATCTAAGTTATATATAAATAATTATTTTATTGTTTATGAGGGAAAATTTAAAAAAATATATACGTATGATACGAATAACATGACCCTTACATAAACCGTCAGATAATCCCTCGCCCTTGGGTCGGCTATCTAAAAGAAGTTAATTAAGCACATCTCTGGGGCGTGAATACAACCCGCAACAATTTATGAATATTTATACAAATTTCCGTTGGAATTCATGACACTCTTAATTAAAACAACTCCACATGAGGCATGATAATTTTCGCACTCGCCCCGACTTATTACTCCACGAATTACTGTATTTTCTGAATAAAATTTCAATCCCAATTTGTTTTTCAATTGTGTCTGATTTAATTTGTAGCCAAAACAATACGAACTGATTTCGTACGTATGCAAAATAATAATATTGTCGGCAAAACAAAATGACAGGATCAATTAAAGGAAAATTATAAAAATTTTAGGAGAAGAAGGTAACAAATGGCTGTTAAACAACTAGTATAAATGGTATGCTGCTTTTTAAAAGTGGAAAATACAGTTTATTTTTCTTAGTAAAAGCATGATGAAACTATTAAAGTATACAATTAAAATATAATTATTTACTGAAACTTAAAATTTTAAAAAATTGGTAAAAATAAATAAATAAATAATAAAATGAGTCGTGACTTCTTGATCTTCATTATAAGTAATTTTATCGGAATACCCCGATTACGTCATATTGGTGAGTTTGAGAGATAAACGCGTTTTAGTCAAATAACAGTCTTCTTATAGAACAGTCAAATTAGAATTATCGGAATATTCTACAAATATTAATTCATTTCATTTACACTATTCACTTTTTCTAATAATTGTTTCTTAGTCAGAAAGGGTGTACCACAGATTTATAAAAATTACAATTAATATAAATGAAGGGCTCATTGTAAAAACGTGACAAGTCACGCTTTTTAATATAAAGGCATTTTTACTTAACGGTAATAAAAAATAAGTTAGAAAGCCATAAACCAAATGAAAATTTTCCAGTCATATTGGACAATTGAAAAAAAAGTTCTAGTTCATTGTTCTTCTTCGTCAATTAAAAAACATAACTAGTTATCATACTTTAAAAATAGCTTCATCATCATCATCTGAATTAGGGCGTGGTTCAAAGCCCACTTGTACTGAAGCTCTAGGCTTATTGTACCCCTCACAGTTTTTATCCCATCAGATTGATTTTCTTAATGAATTCAAGAATATGTCTGATGGGCGCTTTCGCGATTTCTTCAGGTTCCGGATATTGTACCCCGAAGTACCATTCCCGTTCCCATTTAAAGTTCCGGCAGTGGCATAGTATGTGAATAGGAGTTTCGTCCTCCTCTTCAGATATCCCTAAGAGATTTTTCTCTTTTGAGCCCCGGTTCGTCCCTGCTCGCTAGACACAGCCTTAGCTATGTTTTTTTGTTTTGCCATCCCTGAGGTACTAGGACTCACGTTTTGTTCCATCTCCGTAGAGAAAGGACGAGACGCTTGCCCCCGTTCCCCTGGTCCAGCATTCGTTGGTCGGGTGTTTTTTTGTTTTGCCATCCCTGAGGTACTAGGACTCGCCTTCCGTTCCATCTCCGTAGAGATAGAGCCAGATGCTTGCCCCCGTACCCCTGGTCCAGCATTCACTGGTATAGTGATCCGCCCTGTGTCGGAAGAACTAGGTCCAGCCTCACTCCCCACATCTAATGATGCGGAGGATGCGCCGCCCTGTCCCTCCTGCTCTGAGGTAAAATTATGATTTTTTGGTCTCTGTATATGTATATCAGTCTTATTGAAATTCACAGAAGAGCTCCCTCATTTCTGACTCAGTCCAGTAATCACTCTTGTGATACTAGAAATGGTAACCTAATTCGACTACCTAGATATAGGTTATTAAAAATACAAAAAACTCATACATGACATTAGTCTATATAATGCACTTCCTAATAATTTAAAATCAACAAACTTATTTTACTTAAAATTATTGAAAATTTACTTTGAAAACCACAGTTTTTATTATATTTCAAAATTTTTAAATCATGTTCGTTTCCATTAATTTTCCTGTTGACGGCACATTCTCCCTGGGTCTTCTCCTTCAAGATTCCCTAAAAAGATTTTTTTTTTGTAGTAATGCATATTATGTAACACTAAATAATATAGTTAAATAAAAGTATTCTATTAACTAATCTGTGGATCATACTGTTGTATGCTGCTAACTTTTGTTTGTATGGATGAGATGAACTATTATGTATTGTATTATAAATATGTGTTAACTTATGAAATGAAGATCTATCTAATCTATTTTGAAAAGCATCAATTAAAAAAAATAATGTTATTGTATTTTGAAGTGACAATCACCACAAATACAACTCACTTTAAATAACGAAATTTTAAAAAATTTGCAATAAGTCGCTTTTTACGTAAATGGAGTTTTTAGTCAAGATATGTTTAGAAGAGTGTATATTTTAGGCAGTTAAAAGTATATATACCTTGTAAAGTAATGAAAATAAGGTACAAACTACATATATAATAATACGAAAGATAAAACGTCATAATGAAACATAAACAAAACACAAATGTGTAATATCGACTTATTATTATCCTTTAAGAGCTGACCACAGAATTCATGTAAAGTTAAACTAGGTCTCATTCATTCTTAGACATTTTCTAGTTTTGCAAAGACAAAATCTACATTTAACTTCAATAAATTTCACTGTACTATTTCTCGCGAAGAAAAACATTTATATTCTTTACCCGGACCGTTGTATTATCAGTTTTGCCGGTACCACGATCTAAAAATGGAGTGCGGTGGATGTGCTGGGAATTTCTTAGGCCCATCGTTAGACCAAACTTGCGGATCGGGGTCCGTATATCTTTTTATGACCCTACTGGATACGTTCATCAGGAATACTTGCGACATATCTGAACTATGCGAAAGGGTAAGGTTAAGTGATCGATAAAATTAAAATAATTCGTAGTTATGTTGCTGAAAATTGGAAATTTGTGATGCTATTTCGATAAATTTTAGTTACTTTGACATCTAACATTTTGTTGAAATTAATTTAATGTTAAAAAATTTAAAGTTAAAAAAAGTGACGCTAAATAAGTTTAAAATAAAATATTTTCAATATAAAACAGATGAAAAAGCTAGTTAGACCGAAACTAGTCCAAAAATATTTTCTATTTCGAAAAATCTAAAAACTGGCTGAATTACGGAAAACAAAAGTTTTGAATTTCAAGTTTTAAAAATTGACGCTAAATAGGTTTAAAATAAATTTAATATAAAACACATGAAAAAGCTAGATTGACCAAAACTAGTTCAATAATATTTTCTATTTCGAAAAATCTCTAGAACTGGTTGAATTACGGGAAACAAAAGTTTTGAATTTTAAGTTTTAAAAAATAACGCTAAATAGATTTAAAATAAAATATTTTCAATACAAGATAATGCTGAATATTTATTTTTTTTCGCATTCTGTAATTAAAAATATTGAGTTCTAATTTCTTGATTCTATGTCATTTTGACAGATTTTCTGGTTAGGGTTTGGCTCTTGGGGTTAGAGCAGTTCGGGTCGAGATATTGAGACCAAAATTGGTAAATAGATGTATTATCCCAAAAATATTTCGCCCACCCCACTTCTAGCTGCTATGGAGGGGGTAACACACTCAAAAAATGAAGTTAATATTTTTTCAGTAATCTAACAATATTTTCTACACACAAACCCAAAATTTAAATTTAAAAAAAAAATCCAAAAATATTTTTGACCTAAACTGTCTGTGGGGCTGGCATTTAAAAAAAGTTACAGTTGAGTTAAAAATCTAATTTTTGAAATATTTACAATAGACTTGATTTGCAACGTTTTTGTATTAAAATTTCACTACCACCATCCCCTATAGGAAGATGGAGGGGGTTCAAAAATATTTTTCGAAAACTTTTATCAAAGAAATTTGAAATTTTGTGTGTGTATATAGAAAAAAATTATAGTTTCCACTTGAAGAAACAGTAACTTTATTTTTTGAGGATAACACACCCTCCATATTAGCTAGAGGGTGGTGTGGGAGAAATCTTTTTATGCGTTTTTTGGTCTTAATATCTCTATCCGAACTGCTCTAACCCCAAGAGCCAAACCACAACCGATATCTCTGTGATATTTGTTATATTAGTCTGATTTTTTAAATTACTGTTGCAAGATTTCTATTATTTTCAACTAGAAGTGTGTTCAAGCAAATTACTTTCAAAAAAGATACTATTTAATGAAAGCAAGTACACCAATGTTATGAAAATCTGTTGAGAAATCTTTTAAAATCATACCCTTTCACTGTGAATCCAAATTAAAGCCCTGTGGGTCGGTGCCGAATATTCTGACGATTGAAAACACAAATAAACGGATGCCGCACATGTGCGTCATCAGCACATAGTGGGGGGTGGCTTCCTGTGACGCGCATGTGCGTCATCAGCAGTAAAAAGGTTAAAATGTCAGTATTAATTGACAAAATATAGCATATATAGAAACTTATAGTTACAGAATATGATTTTCATATGCTAGTTTTTTCCAGAATAACAACATAAAAGAATATAAATAGTAATATCTTATAACATGTTTCTGAATGTTACGTTTTAATGTTGAATAAGGTAACCAAAATTTCATATAAAAATATACTTTAAATTGCTATTCTTTTTCAAAGATAATGATACCGTTTATTTAGAAGTGTAACGTATTTACAATAATTGTGTATACTTTTTAAAAATACCACCCTTAATACCTTTCATAAAGTAAATAATATTTGTAGAATCCTAAATGGGAAGTGAGTCAAGTGAAACATAATTTTAAAGGTAATTTTATACAGAATATGAGTATTCATTGCGTTACCATTACTTTTAGCGCCCTCTAGTGGGATATTAAATGTTATGAATTGTAAAATATGACACTTCATTTGAAAGCTAATTTTATTAGTAACCCAGTTTTAGGAAATAATGTAAAACTTTTTTTCAGGTAATTCCTAAAAGAAGACCAGATTCTGAGTACGATTTCGTAGTTATAGGTGGCGGTAGTGGTGGAGCTGCAGCTGCAGGTAAACTATCGCAAGTTTCTGGCTGGAAAGTGCTGCTCATTGAAGCTGGAAATGATGAACCACCAGGAACTCAGGTATTTAAACGGTTATTTACATATGTGTGAATTATAAAATAAATTATTAATAAAGAAAATAGATATAATTTTATTAATAACAGCATATTTTTGACTTACATAGATTTAAAAATCATCGTCTGCTAGGTCAAAAAAATTGACATATTAATATTAATTTAAAGAATGAATAAAAATCATACTCAAAATCTGTTAAAGGCGCAAGGAAAAATATTATTTCTACACCCATATGGATATTAACTTATCTACGCACAGATTATAATAATAATAATACTTTCCCTAATTCACCCCCTTACGAGTGAATTTTAACCCCAAAAGCTGAGCCTGTGAGGGAAAAGGGACAGCTATTATCATTATTATTTGTCGTGGCGCTCCGTGGCGACTTAAAGATGATTGATGGTACCATTTTATTTACAGGTGGGGAAAACCCGGAAAACTTCACCCACCATCATAAACCTCACTTTCCATCATCAAACCTCACCCACCATTATACAATGAAAAAGTATGATATTGCTTTCAACTGAACGAATATATTTCATATTCATTCTAGTTAGTGAGAACACTGCAAAAAAATGAAATCCACCAATCACAGTTCATATTTTGACCAACCGACTGCATTTTTAAAATTTTAAATAAGTGACAATTCTGTCAAACTAACTGTCAGTATATTTTTTAGTTATTGAGATTAAACACACATTAAAATGAATTATAAATAATTTGTTAATTTAAATAAAACTATATGAAGTCGATTTAATTAAAGAATAGGTGGTCCTGTGGTTAGCGTTCTGGTCTTCCACACTGGAGACTCGAGTTCGATTCTCGGATGGGGAAAAATTAAATGAACTTTTTTCTTTTTTTATTTTATTTTAAAAATTATTAAAAGTCATAAATTATTTTAAAATTAGTTATTTTGTCTTAATAACCTAAAATATTTTTTTAATTGTAAATTTTCGTTAGTGGGTCGTACAAAACATATTCTATATAACTCGAGTGGATTTTCAGACTCAGACGATTGAGCACTCCGCCTACGGCGTTGTGCTCAAATTTTGTCTTCGTGCGATATGGCCATCATATCAACACTTATTGCACAAACTACTATAATGTATGTATAAACTACTTAAAATGTAAAAGGCCGAAGGCCAAATAAGGAAGAAGAATATGATTAATGTAAACTGAAGTTTAATAAAACAAATTCAGGTTTAATATCACAGAGATTGTAAGTGACAATAATAACGAAAACATACACAAAATGCTTGAAATTTATCGAAAAAGAGCTAGAGAATTCATTTTTAATTAAGCACATACTTATATATTAAATTTTACAGCATTTGTTTTAATAAATAAATAAGTTTAATTTTTTTTATACTTATTAAGTACAATATTAATTGTTATTTTATTTGATATTATTTTCTTTCATAGAGAGTATAAAATACCTATAAAAAATTAATTATTATATATAACAATTATGACATATTATGTCTAAATAAGTCAACCTATTGCACTAATAAATTTTATGTAATACAAATTTTAATATTTGAAGATTAAGGTTTTAATCCCCATAATATATTTATATTTAAGAAATTTTCATTCTTTTCGAACAATAACCTTTTACTATTTTTAAAAACCTATTCTTTTGCCAACATTGTTCAAGATGACTATGTATCTTGCGGTAAACCAAGAATACTTTTACGAGCCACCATTACATTAGATAAACTAATATTAGCAACTTTTTTTCGTCACTTTTATTACTTTTACGTTTACTTCTTTACTTTATTGGCAATAAAACAAACTATATAAACATCATATTTTAACTTAATGGCCTTTGTTTTCTTTCAAGCTTATTCAATTTGTGACTCTTCTTGTAAATCGACTATTAAAGTCACACTCGTTTCATTTATCATCACTTAGGTGCTAGAAAATTTATTAAAAGTTTATATCGTTTTTCATAACTTAGTGAAATGAAATAAGAAATAAGAAGGAAGACTATAGAAGTGGATCACTTACACCTAGTTGCAAGAACCATTATTAAATATATCATAACTATATTAGACTTAATCACTGACATAACTTTTTTGTATATAATGCTAATTTTATTCTGAACGACTGACATAGAAGAATATTTTTGATCTTTTACATTTTTATAGGTACCATCGATGGTGGGCAATTTCATTGGCAACGAATATATAGATTGGGGTTATAAGACTGAACCGGAACCAGAAGCTTGCCAGGGATATCCTGAAAAACGGTGCTTCTGGCCAAGGGGTAAAGTCCTTGGGGGATGCAGCGTACAGAATGGAATGATGTATATGCGAGGAACGCCCAAAGGTATTTTTCATTTATTACTTTAGTTAAAAATATGTAATTTATCTCGCTTGGGTAGTAAACAAGTAATTTGATCAGATGATTAATGAAGTATAATGGATAAAAAAGCTGACTTGGTAATTTAGAATTTATGTAATGAAAACTAAATAATATACTTTTTGAAGTAAATGTTGTTAAAAATGAATGATGGTTGATGCTAAAATATTGGGATATTTGAAGACATGAATATTACAATTATAAAATATTCTCTTATACACTCGATACATTTTTAGATCCAAATAAATCAGTTGCCATAACATTTTATTCCATTCTAAAGTTTTTTCTTTATATAAAAAATATTTATTAAAAGTTATTATTAATGTAACTTGTTATTTAATAGTTTTAGTGAAACAAAATAATAACGGACTTAAAGAACCTAGTTCTCACAATAAAATTAATACCTACTTATTTAAAAATGGAGATTTATTATTACTAATACTACAACAGTTATTTATAATTTTATATAATTACTATAAAAACATAACCTTTGTTACAAAGGTTAAATCATTAAAATATATTTCTAATAATATAGAATATTAGATTATTATTTATTAATATTAATTATAAATAGCTATCCAATGTTGAAGTTATTTATTTATAGAATAAAATATTGTTAAATATTTGATAATCTTTCACATGATTAAAAAAAATTATTCTATTCTTACTAAATTTGAAAAGAACTAATAGAGATTAAATCACATTAACTATTTAAAAATAGGGCAATATATTTTAGTTATAGGTTTTTAAACTTTAATTCATTGCATTTCTTTCAAATTTATGTAAACTTCAAAATATAATATAAATAAATTAAATACGAAATTTATGCGGGTGATAAACCTGCTAATGGATATAAAATATGAAGGTTGAAAAACAAACAATAAAAACAATTTGAAATAAATGAGAAAAACGGTTATTTACACTAGGTGTGAATTGTATCATGAATATTTTGAATAATTTTAGATAATATATTAAAAAAAAAAATTTAAATACTTTTTATAATTGTAGGTAATTTTATACTAAATTCGAAAATTTTCTGTTTAATTTTTAATTTTAAGAATTGTGTGTAGCCCTCACCTTAGCATGTTTAGTTTTTCACTATTTTTTTGGTTTTTGTTCTATTTAAGTCTTTTCGAGTTTTCAAAATTAATTTTCGGCCAATATTTAAGGTATATACGAAATTTCATATTTTGGGCCCTCTTAATTTTTAAAATTTGACAATTTGGGTCGTTTTGGAGATTTTTTCGAGGATCTGTTGCTATATCAAATCAATTATTTTTAAATTATGTTTTTCGTTATTTTCGAACAATGTTTAAATTATATGCGAAATTTTATAATATTTTGGATCTCCTGAATTTTTGAGATTTAACAAACCTTTGTCTAGATCCCCACAAATTTTTTTAAAATTGTGGTCTTGGTGATAGGTTTTGTCCACACTTGTTTTCGTATCATTTTCTTAAAAAAAAATTGAAAATATAATATACTGAATTAGAAAATCTACTTTAAATTTTTAATTTTAAAAATTGCGTTTCTGTTCAAAAATATACTTGAATGTAGTTCTGAATTACAGAATTTTATTTTTAACAAAAACTATATATTTTTATCTTTTATTGAAATATCAATCAAAATATAAATTTTTTGCTTATTTAACTGATATTATACCGGGTGTTCTAAATTAAAGCGTTACAGCTATATACCGCTTTTTATAAAAAAAAAAACGTTTCAGACGAAAGTTTTATAGTTTTGTAGGGAAAACTTTAGGCTAAAATCGTTTTTTATAGCTAACCATAATATGGCCAATTTATTTTTCGTGCAGCAACATTTTCAAGTAGCTGTTACTCAAAAAGTAAAAGTCCAATAAAAAAAATATTTCCCTCAAAAGTTTCTTATTTTTTATGTACTTTAAGAACATGTAAGTAAAAAATGGGATTCCCATTTAAAAAAACAAAGTTCACCTCGATATGGCCATATTATGGTCAGCTATAAAAAAATGAATTTAGCCAAAATGTTTCCCCCAAAAAACTATAAAACTTTTGTCTAAAACTTTTTTTTCTAAAATGCATATTTTCACTTGATGTGATCTCTGCTAATGTAAGTAACATCCTGTATCCAAACATTTTATTACAATACATAAAAATAAAATTTAATTTTATCATATTAATTTTTATTAAAAATGATATTTTACGCTTTATATAAATAATTAGTTATCAATTTTGTAAAAAATAAAAATGAATTATAACTAGAAATTAAAATAAACTAAATAGATAACTAAAATAATTTAAAGCCAATCTATTTTGTAATTTTTCTTTTCCAAACACAATTTAACGAAAATAGTTTGTCCTGTAGATTTTCCTTTTACAAACAAAATTTAATGAAAATAGAGTTTATGTTGTAGAAGTTTTATTAATAAAAATAGTTTTAACAATGCACAATATTGTATGCGGTAAATAATTATCACTTTTTAGTTGATTATTTTTTATCTTTAATTAAATAGGTTAAATACAAAACTATTTCAGTTTTTATGTAAAATAGTAGTTAACTGATATACGTTATAAAGATATAAAAAATATTCGCTAATACGGAATATATTGTGTAAGTATTGAATTACGATTATTTTGCAGATTTTTTTCGGATTGATTGGGATATATAAAATTTCTAATCCAACAATTCTGAATTTGAAGTAAATCCAAGTTTCTGAAACAATAACAATTTTATACCTCTACTAAACCAAATATTTCAAATAACTTAACAAAAAGTAGCCATTTTAAATTTTTAAAGTTACTGGTTAAATCATTTAGATATTCGAGAGACTAATTTGGAATTAAAATTTCATAAAATTATCAAAATTTTCAATTTCATTTAATTAATGGTTATAATAAAGGATTGTGTGTTAACGAACCCGTGGCCACATCAATAACTATATCTAAACCGGTTTAATTTATTTGATTTAGTATAATATTTGAAGAATAATTATGGTAATTTTTTTTTGGATTTTATTTCACATTAAATTTAATCTATATTTAATTAGTGTGTGGTTTTGTGCAAAAAAGTTGATGATCAATTAAATTTTATTTAAAAAAATTATGACGGTTAAATTTGTGGTAATTTTATTATTATTTAAGTACCCAATGGTATTTATAAATCTTGTTTTTATATAAAAAAAGGTACGTTTGTCAATTTTGATATTGGAATTTTATTAAAACAAACATATTTTAAATACCTATATGGTCAAAAAATAATATATATCTTTTAAAATAATATGACAGCATGTAATATTGATAAAGTATCATCAACTTAATAATACTAGATAGCGGTATATTTATCTATTTTTGATTAAGGATAAGGTTTAGTTCATTAACAAAATTTAATTTAATTATTTAAAATTAATTCTGATACTTTGGTAGAATTTCCCACTCGACCATTCACTGTTGGGTTATAATTAACCGTGCTGTTCCTAAAGTGGCGCTGGGAAACAGTAACAAAGCATACACAGAACATTTTCAGAAATTAAAAAAAAAAACATTTCTAAAATACATATTTATAAATAAACCAGATTTATTTTAAGGATATTTAATAAATACAACTACCTATACCGTATTTTACTTTCCTTGTTTATTTATTATTTTATTATTTATTCTAAAAATATACTTCATTTACTATTATTGTTTATTTAATAATTAATTTTTTGTTGATAGTTTAAGGTTATGTGTGTTAATTATTTTATGAATTAATTAATACCTACATTTGATAATTTCAACTTCCTTAGTTTATACTTTAGAAGATATAAATAGCAAATAAACCACTCGTGATATTATTATTCTTTTTATCGCAAATTAGAGAATTAATTACATAGTTATGAGGGGTTTCCTTTAATGTATTATCTACCTTGCCAAATTCGTTAAAATATGATATTTCTATCTCTGCTTATTTAGAAAATATAATTTTATTTTTATACAAGTGAAACTGTTTTGTAGATGGGTGGTGTAGATTTAGTTTCACGAATAATTAAATTCTCCTTTCTAAACTATCTCACAGTATGATTTTTATTTCTATGATTTGGAATATTTAAGTTATTTTGCAATATATAGTATAAATATCTAATTTTAAATACATGTCCTTAAGCTATCATCAAAAACGTTTCTAAATCAAACACGCAAAGTGCCTTGCAATGTCTAACAATTTGAAATAAAAATAGTTTTCTCTTCCTACCCTGTTCCATAATTGAATTTTTAATTAATTCCATTCCGAGTTGTCAATTCCATTTTAGGATGAATATTAAATAAGCGTTTAATTTTGCTACTCTTAAAGTTTTGTTTACTTACTCAAAATGATTAAAAAGTTAATTTAACATATCTTCTAAATACTTATCGCCGAGCTGGGGACTTTTGCTGAATATTAAGCAGAAGTTATTTTCACCTTAAATTAGAATTGCTCGAGGGTATGAAAAGAACAACATTTAGAGTTATTTCTGTCGACTGGCAACTTCTCACTTACAAACATTTCATTAATTACCTAATTCTAGAAACGGGAATTTCATTAAACCGCAATTTGAGGTGAACTTATTTTTAATAAGATAATTTTCAAGAATTATAAAATAAAAATAATATTAATATTTTTCTAGACTACGATAATTGGGCAGCCGCTGGCAATACAGGCTGGAGTTACAAGGATGTCCTGCCGATCTTCAAAAGTTTCGAGGACAATAAAGAAATTGGAACTTTGGTTGAAGCTGAGTATCATGGAACTGGAGGGCCATTGACTACTAGAAGATTCATCGATCAACCTCCTTTAGCCTACGACATCTTAAAAGCTTCATTGGAAATTGGTTATAAACCTAGTAAGGATCTAAATGGAAGGCAGTATTCAGGGTTTGCCATTGCGCAATCAAACACTAGGTGAGAAAAATATATTTCGTATTTATATCCATAAGTTATAATTTTTACTACTAGTAAATTATTAACTGAAAATATTTGATTTTGTTTGTATTACTTCGTAATTACGAAAGATCCAGTATTTTTGATTTTCTATTCATCAACATTGTTATTCATTTGGTTAGAAATATTTTTCGAAATGATCTGCAAATTTATCAGGTTTTCGTTTGTTTGGTAACATAGACGTAGACAATATAGAGGGTGGTATAATTTTGAAGCATTATAATTACCCTAATTTTCATCCCGACATTCGAAACTGCAACCCGAATCAGATAAATGGTAAAACGTCGACCCAATTTTGAGTTTGGTAGCAACGAATTGAAGTTTTTAAATGTCGATGCCATCTTTCGATAATACTATTAACTTGTGGGTGGTAAGCGGTTGTTCTAATTAGCTCAACTCCAAAAAGTTTGGATAATGATTTGAAAAGATCACTCTCGAATTGTCGACTTTGATCGGTTGTTATTCGAAGAGGAACGCCAAATAGACCAAAGTTAAAACACTTTTTACCTCATGTTTCAGCTGATATATCACAAATTGGGCAAGCAACAGGAAGTCGAGAAAAATCTATAAATGTTAGGTAAAACGTATACCCATGGGCCAACTATATCTATATGCAAATGTTCAAATTTAGAACTAGTTTGGAAACTTCCAATTGGAGATTGGAGAATGCCAATTTAATAATATTGACAGTCGGCAGCTGTCAACTAGCTGTCAAACAACAAGCTATAATCAAAATTAAAAAATCCACATGTTAATATCGATTTTTGAGGCAGCTGAGTTCAAAACTGATGTTAACGACTCGATATTGATAGTTGACAGTTGACAGCTGTCAACCAACAGTCAAACAGTATGTGAAAATCAAAATTGACAAAACTCAAGAGTAAATAGATGTCCTCGAGATTGCTGAGTTTAAAATTGATTTAAAAAAAAACGATATTGACAGTGATCAGCTGTCAACTAACTGTCAAACAGCATGTGACAATCAAAATTATCATTTTTCGTCGACCATTTTTTGGGATGCAGTTTCGTAAGAGCTTTTTTATCAGTACGGCAGTCTCGACCAATTAAGATTTTTATGCAAAGTGTATGTTGATGAATTTATTAGTGGACTGTGTTTGAAAATTCTACAATTAAAAACAAAAATAAATATATCAACTAAATCTGTTTGAACGTTTAAGAAATCATAAACGAACAAGTCTGTTAAGTTGGTACCGTAACTACAATAATCAGTAAATAATTCGGTTTCTATATAAAAATTACAAAATTAAAACAATCAAAAATTCAAAACTTCATTCAAACTTCTCGAGTTACAAACTGGTTTTCTTTTTGAATAAAATATATCGCATGCTAAGTAAATTTCCTAGAATTATAAATGCTTTTATGTTTTAATTTTTAATGTTCGCGACAACATGGAAGTTGAATAATTCAAACAAAAGTTGAAGTTTAGATTGTAATATTTTTTATTTTTAATAACTGTTTCTTGTTAACCTTACTTGTATTCTTAAATGAAGAAGTCTCATAAAATTATCACAAAAAAATTGAAATTATTACAAAAAAAAAATATTATTTTATTTCTAATTTAACTACAAACATTATTTTCCAGAGAAACTATGAAAGTTAACAACTCTGTATTTTTAACTTAGAAAAATTTATTATAGTCTCAACTCAAATGTGATAAAAAACACATGGTTTTGAGTTTTCATTTTCTTTATTATTACAGTATGTTTATTGGGTTTATTTATGTTTAAATAATTTAATTGTATCCTTCTCAAAATTTTTATTAAAGTGCTCAAAGTTTAGACTTTTGAAAGTTTATTCTATGATATAAAATGTTTCAACTAATTTAACCATTTAATGAATAAAACTCATAGTTCACTCATATTTTTATTGCAACGAACGTTTCATTAAACATATCCCGTAATAAAAATGGAGACTGCAGTGTTTGAAAAATATTCCCTGGAATAATAAAAATTTGATATAACTCTGCATATTGACGTAGGCAATATAAAATGGGCATAAAAATTTCAACGCTTTTTTTATCATAGTCACAGGAGCGAAGGAAAATGGTTCCGTTGAAATATGAAGTAAGTTTTGTACGTCTTGATATGGAAAGAGTTTTTGGACTATTAAAAAAGTTCATTTACATCTTAAAGTATAATTAATAAAAGTAATATAATGGTTTTATGCTTCTATTTAGTTTACTTAATTAAAATTGCTTAAAATAAAATTGTGAATGATGTTTTATGAATCCATCATTTTCATTTTTATATTCTGCCAAGTTTTTTCTAATTTAATATTTAATGCTACCACATCATAAATCTTTGATGATATGCTTGATACGGTTTTAGCTGGCTAACGACTAAAAGTGACAATGAACTGTCTGTAAAAAAGAATATTTTTCTTTGTTTCATTGTCAGACTGGTTATTATTCTTCTATAAACTAAATTTACAGCGAGTTTTGATTTTGCATGCTGCATGTAGATGGCAATACTCGCGTACGTTCTCCTTAATAAGCAAAATCAAAGCTTTAATAAAGTGTTAAAAAGTATTATCTATATCTGCTGTATCATAGATTTAATTCAATACCTGTCAAGGTGTCAAGATATAAACCATTGAAAAATTATCCAATTAAAAACAAAGGAAATAATGTAGTTACATATTTCCAGGGTTTTGAGCTATTAGAGCTGTATCGTCAGCAAATTGTATAACGTATTTTTGTGAATTTATCGGTTTGTTGAGAAAAACGTACAGATCATAACATAAAATGTTATAAAGCAATGGTGAATAATTGAGGACTTTCTTGTCTCGTTATAAAAAAATTATTATTCTTATAGAAATGGGGCTCGTCTAAGCAGCGCCAGAGCATACATAAGACCGCAAAGATTTAATCCAAACCTCCACGTAATGTTAAACTCCACTGCAACTAAAATAGTTTTAAAAACGCAAGGAAAGCAGAAAATCGTAGATGCTGTGGAATTTGTCTATAAAGGCACAACTCATAGAGTCAAAGTTAATAAAGAAGTTGTTTTAGCAGCAGGAGCTGTTAATTCACCTCAGATTTTACTGCTATCTGGAATTGGTCCTAAGCAAGAGCTTGATAAGGTAAAATAAGATTCTTAATTACTCAATTGGTATTGCAAATATTAATTTTAAATAACCAGTAAAACATTATCTACATTCTGTAGACGTTATTCCCATTTTTATACATATGCCATTTTTTTATGTATTGATTGATTCCTTATTGGACTTTGATACAGCCTTTTGCTTCAACAGTTCACACAGAATTTATTTTTTATTCGCTTTTTCTGTGCGTCATAGAATATTGAATATACGCTTCATATTTTATTCTAAAAATATATCATAGAGTCTAATATGTGAACTGAAAATAAAGCTGTAGCATTGTTGAATATTCAATAAATATGAAACGGAAAATAATTTCCAATTCGCATCTGCTGTACAGATAAATATCAAGTTAGATATTCAATATAAATTATTTGGATGGAAGGTTGTTTGTGCGCGAACACATATTTCCTGTGGATAATAATTTTGTTAGTTTCATTAAAAATAATATATAGTGAAATATTAAACGGTATTAATGCATGAAAGCCAGGAATTTTAATTTATTCATTTATTCTCGCATTTACCAATAAAAGTTTAGCTTTTTTCTATATTTTTCTTTATTTATATTTCTTTAACTTAAGAATTCATATTATACCTCTAAAAAATTCAATAATTGTAAATTCCCATCTGAAAATCAACAAAATGCAATATTTAAAATGAAAATTCCATGATATTTTTAACTTTAAATAATTCAATTTTTATATCACTTGGATATTGCTGATAACATATTTAATTTAATTTATTTAATTTGTTGTCTTTAGATTTAAATATAACATCCTTAATTTAATCTTCAAATATATGTTTTCAAATCAATGGTTTGCTAATATAGAACTACAAAAAATATTTTCAAGATTTTAACAATATCTGTCCAGCATTTTTCAATTAATATGTTTAAAATAATTTCAAAATAAATGGTATGCTTCTCGGATTTCAACAATATCTGTCCAGCATGTTCAATTTACATATTTTTTTAAATCATTCAAAATTAAAGCAATGCTCCTCGAATTTTAACTATAACCGTCCAGCATTTTCCAATTTATATATATTTTTTAAATAATTTATATTTCGTAAAAACATTGACGATAAATAAAGCGTGTTTAAAACCATCTGTGGTTATTTGTTACTTTAAACTACGGATAAACACAATCAATACGAATTGTATGAAACGGAATATTAATTTTTAAGCAAGTGCAGATATAATTTCCCAAACCTTTTCTCTTTTCTTTGCCAACAAACGGTACGTGTGATAATTAATGACTTGGTTACTATATAGCTTTATTTTTACCTCAGTGGTATTTATTGTTGAATAGTTATTTCAAAACTTAAACAAATTTAAAAATAAATGTTTCAGTTTCGCTGCGTTTTGTTTTTCTAAGCTTTCCTCAGCAGGTTATTGATAGAGATAATATAAAATCATTTTAATAAAGAAAACCTTTTTTTTTTTCATAAAATTTCTGCTAAAATTCAAAACTAAACGACTGCAAATAAAGACACTATCTGTCCAAAATAGCGTAGTAGACCACTGCTGTATTGTCCACATCTTAAAAACAAATTTCGGAACATATACCATTGCTTTCAATTCTTAATAGTATTTTACTATTTTTCGGTATCTATTAGACAGTTGAATTATAAATTTATTCCAAAAAGAACTATTAAAATAAATAATATAATTTATTCTAGAGCTAGATGGTTGGTAAGTTTCTTTTCGAAACAATAAGCTCTATAGTGACATTTTTTTTTAACACGATAATAATATTACTTATATCAGTTACATACTATTATTTGCCTCTATAGGATGACGGTGTTTCAAATAAAAACCACCAATATCGCCAATAATTATCTCAAACAATTATTAAGCAACTGACAAATTTAACAAATTAACACAAAAAAGACATTCACTAATATGGCCAATAACAATCTCAAACAATCTATTAACTGATAAATTTAACGAATTAATACAAAAATGACATTCACCAATATGGCCAATAATCTTAACAATCAATCAATTGATAAATTTAACGATTTAATAATCTTGGAAATACAGGAATATTCAATCCATAGGTACTTCCGTGGTACTTTTAGTGAGCGAATTCTATTTCTGATATTAGATTTTATTAATTATTAAGTCACATAATTATTTGGTTACCAAGTGATTATCGATAGAACACAATGCCAACAGTAACAAGCTGATCACACTAGACTCTCAAGGCGACTCCAATCGTTCTACCTGGAAGAGTACCGATGATACTCTCCTACCGCATCATTTCCCCGCACTCCCCGCTCTATACAGTACTATAATTAGTAATCATACAAAAATTTGTGTTATTTTTAGGTTGGAATTAGACAAGTTCATGAACTGCCAGGTGTTGGAAAAAATTTAAAAAACCACGTTGCTTTCTACGTTAATTATCTTTTGAAGAAAGAAAAGAACTATGCAGATTTGGATTGGGCTGCAGCTCTAAACTATATCGTTAATAGAAAAGGACCAATGACATCCACAGGTAATTTAAATATTCTTTGTCGTATATAATTATTTTAATTTTAAATTTAAAGTCATAATTTTAATATTTTTTAACATTAATGTATATATAGTATAATTTAGAAACTATTTTTATTTTCTATGAAGATTAGAAGATGTGCTGCTATAGGTAAAAATTATTTTACTATCTACTATCACTATATTTAACAAAAAACAATAAATTGGAAATCAAATTATGATTTGCCTTGTGGACGGTACGGTTTAGTCTTGTGGACAGTATGACGCAGTTCATGAACAGCATCGCTAAGCCTATTTTTGAGTTATGTAGACAGTATGGTTTAGTCTTGTGGACAGTATTGTTTAGTCTTGTGTACAATACTGTTCAATCTTGTGGATAGTATGGTTCAGCCTTGTATACAATATGGTCTATCTTGTAAACAGTATGGAGAAGTTTGTGGCCAGTATGGTTCAGTCTTATAGATAGCATATGAACAGTATGATTAATACATATATACCCAATATCAGGGTCGACAAGAAGGGGGCGGGCGGGACAAATTCTCGGGGCACGGGCACAAGGGGGACCCCGCAGCTGTAGATTTTTAGAAAAAGAAGTTCGCCACGAAAACGAGGACTTGGTTTATGAAAAATATGAGGTGATTGGTTTTTTTTTTGAAATCTGATATGGAAATTCTTTTTCGGTCCTGCTCAATATTCCTATGTATAATTGCCAAAAAATTATCAAAATTAAAAAGCAAACCATATTAAATAGTACTAGAAGTATAAAATGAATTTAAATCATATTGTATATTTTTTATCTTCATTAACAACTATTGTAGAGTAAATATGAACATTATTAACATTCAGCTATTATTCAGCATTTAATCTATTGTTACTATTAAAGCAATTAAAAATTTATTTAAATTGTTTATGATTGAAACAAAATAGTAAATTTGAAATTAGTACATTATTCAATAAGCGCACGAAAATAATTAACAATTAATTATTACTCTGATGTTTCATTTCAAGCGAATTTGATAGAAATGTTTAGTAATATTAGATAATAGTATTCAATCATAGTTATAAATAGTATCCACATATAATATATCCAATAAATATAGGATTTTTGACGGATAATACCATTTTCATTATTGTGGTAAATTAAATAACAATGGTTGAAATTTGCACAATTTAGTAAAAATTAAACAATATGTTTATCGTTTACTTGTAGTTCTAGAGTAGAGTATAGATTTGACCATAAAAAAGTTAGATGAAATTGAAGCACTTAGTAAACTTGTCAATCTATCTGATGTAATTGTTGTTACAGAGTTGTGGCTTTCTCCTGGTGAGGAAAACTATTTTAATTTGCCAGATTATAATGCAATTTATGAATCAAGAAATAAAACGGGAGGTGGAGTTGGCATTCTAGTAAAAGAAGGCTACAATTTCACAAAAATGGACAGGTTAAGTGAAAAAAGTTCTATGCTATTTAAAAGATTAGAACAAAGAAACTTTGTTATAGGTGCTATATATAGACCTCAAGATTTTGATAAAAACACTTTTTTAAACGTTTTAGAAGACAAGTTAGAAAATATCAATGACCATAAAAAGAAAACGTTTATTTTGGGAGACATTAATATTAACTGTTTAGATAAACATGATATGTACAAAAGAAACCTTGATTACCTAATTGATTCACTAAATTTTATTAATTTAAATGATAGCATTCCAACTAGAGTGCAGAATAATTCATGAACTTTAATTGATTATGTTTTGTTAAATGATGGATACTCCAGTAATTTGGCTGTTATTGATTACTGTTTAAGCAATCATAGAATGTAGATATTGCAAGAAAAACAATGCAATTTAATTAGCAATAAAAAATATAAGTATATTTAAGTATAATTAACACTGTGTGACAGGATCCAAATGTCTTGTGTGATCAAATAGTGAGAACAGTCCAAAGCAATACCACCTGTAGAACATATAAAGACCGTTTTAGAACTATGTGCATGGTTTAACATTCATTTGCATAACCCAATCAAGCACAGAGATACGTGTTATAAAAGGCATAAGTTTATTCCCAATAGTGCTCTGCGTCACAGTGAATACAAGAACAGTCAAACTATCTTGAAAGCAACTATATCTAATGCAAAAAACAATATTATCACAATCAGCTAACAAGTGCCCTAGGTAATCCAAGAAAAATATGGTCAATATTAAACTTGTTAATTCATAATAAAATATCAAAGCAACATGCAAGTAAAAGATAGAAGTTTCTAAGAAAATTGCAGATATTCTTAACACCCATTTAACAGAAATAGGTAAAGCCTTAGCAGAAAATATACCGGAGTCTACTTACACGAAACATACAGTTATAAACCGTCAACAACTATATCAATGGGAGTTAACTACCCCTAAAGAAATTAACAAAGTAATTTCAGAGTTAAAATCGAGAAAAGCCTGTGGTGCTGATGGTATCTCTGGGACTTGATTAAACATTTCAAAAACGAAATGTTGGTTATCTAATAAACTTAACTTTCACGCATGCTTCAATTTCCAATGGACTAAAAGTAGCTAAAGTTTTACCATTATTTAAAGGAGGGCTAAGAACTTCTACTAATAACTACCGACCGATATCTCTATTAAGTTTTTTCTCCAAAGTCCTGGAAAAATGTATCAATCAAAGGCTTGTTTCTCATCTTGAAAAAAAGAATTTTTGGTATAAGGGACAGTATGGTTTTCGTAGTGGAAGTAGCACAACGTCGGCAGTCACAGATATGATTACCAACATCAGACATCATGTGGATGAAGGCAATGCATATATCATTGTTTCACTTGATTTAAAGAAGGCATTTGATACTGTTAATCACTCAGTACTGTTATCTATTTTGGAAGACTATGGAGTAACAGGAAATGCATTGTCTTTCTTTAGAGATTATTTCAATGGTCGTACACAGTTTGTAAGTAATGGAAATACCTCAAATAAAATGACTGATCTACAACATGGTGTACCCCAGGGGTCAATTCTTGGACCAACTTTATTCCTGATCTATATAAACTCCATAGCTCAGCTACCATTAGCTGGTTATTTGCAACTTTATGCTGACGATGCTTGTATTATCTATTTTGGAAAAGATACAGACAAAATAAAGTATATTATAGAGCAAGATCTAATTCAAATTCTTGAGTGGTTAAAGTTTCATAAATTAACTCTGAATACTGAAAAGTCAAGTTTTTTAGGGATATAAAAAAACCTGAATGGAACCAATTCCAAATAAATATAGACAACGAACAGTTGACTAGGACAGAATGCATTAAATATCTTGGTATATACATAGATTCCAAGCTCAACTGGGAACATCATATTGCTCAATTGTGTAAAAAAATTACTCCTGCCATTGGAGTATTGGAACGTGTTGCCTGCTACCTTTCAGCTGACTTAAGGAAGACTATATCATTCGCTAATTCATTCACATCTATCATATTTAACTCTTATTTGGAGCAAAACTTCCCAAAATAGACTAACACCCTTGCAACTATTCTACAGAATAGAGCAATCAGAAAAGCTCTTCAACTTCCTTTTTGTCATCCTACTGATCTTTTGTATCGTCCAAATAATATTTTAGACATTCAGTCCCTCTCTAAATATCAGACATGCATTTTTATTCATAACCTATCTCTGAATAATATACACTCATCCATACAACTGACTACTTCCTATGATATCCATAGATATAATACTCGGAATAATAGCTGCTTCAGAACCACAGCCGTAAGAACATGCTTTGGTGACTGAAGCATACTATCTGATGGTCTAAGACAATACAATGAGCTTCCTAGCACCATAAAGAACATAAGTACTGACCTCTTAAAAAAAAGTAAAAGCTCACTTAATAGAATTTTCTTAATTGATATCTTCATGTTTAAATAAGGTTTAAGTAATAGTGTGATATTAAATTACTGTATTTTTTTTAAAATTATTTTTAGTTATTTTGTAGTAGTATTATTGTTATTATTATTATAACTAAGCACGTACCAAATTCTTCCTCTGTGATAAGATATTATAAAATTTGTACCTTGTAAGATCCACATAGGCTTAAGCTCTGGGTCTAAATATACCAAATTGTATTATTTTTTTTTTATTAATAAACTTGATGGAACCTTAAATAAATTTTTGTTTACCAAATATCATTCATGCATATTTTATTAATGAATTTACAGGAATGTCTCAAGTAACCGCACGTATAAACTCAAGATACGCAGACCCAAGTGGCACCCACCCCGATCTTCAAATATTTTTCGCCGGTTACACAGCAGATTGTTCTAAAACTGGAGAAGCAAGGGCCTTAGCAGAACCTGAAAAACCCGATAAGCCTAAAATGCTCACTATATCCCCAGTTACTCTTCATCCGAAAAGTTTAGGTTACATAACGCTCAAGTCCAAAGACCCATTAAAAGCACCAGCGATGGTTGCGAATTATTTGACAGAACCAGAAGATTTGGCTGTTTTGATAGACGGAATGAGGGTTATTCAGAAACTTATGAATACGACTGTCATGAAGGAAAAATATGGAGCTGAACCGTATAAAGAGGAATATGGGGACTGTATTAAAAAATTTTCGTAAGTTTTTATTTCATATATTTTAACTGGATAAGTTAAAAAATATTTCTGGGAGAATAATACGTTCCGTGCACAACAATTTCCTTATTTTGTTCTTGTAAAGCATCCTATTGTTTTGAATTTTATAAGGTTTTATACCTGAATTTGGTTTCACATTCGGTCAATTTTTGTCGTTTTACTACTATTCAATTTTTAGTATTTTTTATTTTTACTCCACTTCTTCATTTCTTTCATTTGGTTATAATCTAATTTAATTGTTATTATAAGACCGTAAGTCTGGCACCCACTTAATGTACCATTGATGAATTCAGACAGATCATACGAACTCGAAAAAAAAAAATATAAATACAGGGTGATCCATTTAAAATATTGTCCGATGACGTCATATCTTGAAAATCATTACGCATGCGGGAAATCTGTAAACGTCAATAAATAGTACATAAAATGTACAAAAACTTTTATCCAAGTCAAATTATCGTACAAGTCATAGTTAAGCCATAAATCAAGTGTTCCGCCCATATAGAATGACCCTGTATATCAAACAGTGTTTGAGATATTTCTTAAATTCTTGTTTTTTTTTATCTGATCAAAGTATTGACTTGTAAAATAAATATTTTATGTATTAAGAATTTAATATTTTATAGTTAATACGCTATTTATTGTTCTTTTAGGTATGATTCAGACGACTTCTGGGGTTGCGCTATAAAATACGAAACAGGACCTGAAAACCATCAATCTTGTTCGTTAAAAATGGGTCCATCAACCGATCCAATGGCAGTAGTGGATAACAAACTGATGGTTTACGGTATCGATGGCATAAGAGTAATGGATGCCTCTTCGATGCCAGAATTGGTATCAGGAAACACCCATGCAACTATTGTAATGATGGCAGAAAGAGGAGTGGAATTTATAAAAGAAAGATGGTTGCCAGCTGTTAACACGATTGGTGATAGATTTGGAAATTCTGAACCATTTGGACAGTATCCTGCACATACTTATCCAAAACCAGTACAACATAATTTTAATAAAGGTGGTTTTTACCATTATCAAGGACATAAACATGGTGTAAAATCAAGATAGATCTAGATAATTAATAATTTTTTACATTTTTAGTAGTAGATTTTTTATTTTATTAAGAAGTCTCGTTTTCGAGTAATTATTTATTTTATAAAAATGAAGAGATTGACATAGAATTAATTTAAGAATTTGGTTATTTTTATTGTCGAAACAGCGATAATAAAGGTGATAAATAGAATTGTTTTCCTATTTTCCTATTCTAGGTGTTTTTTTTGCATATTTAACTCTTTTTTTTTTTCGTAAATTTCGCGTTTTTGAGTTTTTTTTTAAATTATTTTTGCTACCTACTCATGATATTATTCATATTACTTTTACTAAATCTTTATATAAAAAAAATTGGGTAAATGGATTGTTTGTTAATAATTTTCTAGGAAAATTTACCTGTTCGAGATCTGAGGCTTTTATAAAAAACATTTCTTAATATTATCATTATCAATTGTATAAATGGTTACTATATCAAGTTTAATTTTGTTACGTATGCCGAAAAGTAAAGAACACACATTTTTAAAAGTTTTAAACGTTTTGTGAGTTTGTTTAAACAGATGATTTCTAATTAAATGCCTTTCTCTAGAAGGAGATAAAGCATTTTGTAAACCGTGCGTCAAAACAGTATATATTCACTTTTCTCTCTCTCACCCACCCCATAACTTAATTCCAAATTGGTATTAAAATTCTAAATATTCTTATTTTTGAAAATTCCCAAATTTAAAGTACTAACAAGTACTTTATTGACCAGCATTGTGAAACTCCACAACATAAACAGATTTTTTTGTGAAATATCTCGGTAACCGTTCGAGATAGGAAGATGTGGTTTAGGACGTTAAATTTATCTCTAAATGCCCTACAAAATGGTATTAAATACATCAGGGATAAATTGTTCGAAGAGCAGATATTAGATCAAATTTGAGGACAACCTTATTTATTTGCCGTTAGCACTGATAACTAATTAAAAAAAAATTTAAACGAATTATTTTCCCAGAGGAAAAAAGCAACAGGTTTTTTTCTTTTTAAAGTAATGTAGTTAGTAAACTAATATACAGCATAGGAAAAATAAACAGGCTTATATTTTAGAATAAACTACAAATTAAAAAGGGTTAAATTTAATACTGACATATTTCTAATTAAACAAAAATAAATTCCTCAAAGCGCCTTCGTGCCTAATTTGGCTTTCCTTTTACCGACCAGCATTTTTGCATAACTCAAATGGTTCCCCACTGACCCGAAAATCAACTCGACCGTAAAAGCGGAAATCCCTCAGTGACCAACGACAAATAATATGACGGGGGAATCGTTTCTGCCATTCCTATCCCTTCCCATAAATTACACTTCTGGAATGAACAGTTCGGAGTTCGAATCCGGAACCCAATCTATTTTGACACGACTGTGGTCCGTTTTTTTGTTTTTCAAGACGACGTCGAAAAATTTTAAAGCTTTCGTTTGGATTGTGGTCAATTAAATTCATTGTAAAGCTTGGTTTGTGCCAGTTTCTTGTTTTCTAGAAATATGTTTGTTAGTTCAGTGTTTGTAAATATGTTTTTAGAACTCCATAAAATATCTCTAGATAATGACAATATCTCAATGAAATATCCAAATTTTAAGTGAAAAGTATTTCCATTGAAAAAAAATTGTTAAAAAACTAAAAAGTGTAGACTTTGAAACTAGACGCATCAATTAATTAATTAATTTACTAATCATGTACTCGGTGTATAATTCCATCCAACAAGCTTTTATGTTCATAAATACACTTTATATAAAGCCATACTAGGAACCCAAAAATATAAAAAAACCACCGAAAATGAGTTCGTTTGACTTTAAAACTAGAGAGCTATATTATTTACTTTTTATTTTTTATTTTACGTACGAAACTGTTTGTGGTCAAGCCTTTTTATTACAATACGTATTTATGTAACTCGTTTTTATTACAACCTACGGACTTAATAAATCATTCTCAACATTTTAGTTTTGTTTTAATATTAAAATATTGCAGTTCTGGCTTTCATATAATATTCAAGGTGTAATATAAATTCATAAGGCCTGGCAACCGAGCCCGTAAATCGTTACACGTATTTCACCAGGAAACAAATATTTACAGAAGTGTATGAAAATATTTGCGGTATATCTCTGGTAAAACGGAATTTAAAACGAAAAATATTAATGTGTTTGTAATAGTATTTATAATTATAGGCCTAATTAGATTGTTAACATGTTTACTGAATCCCACTTTGTGATGAGTTGATTAGTAGGGAGTCTTTTCTTCCAGCACACTTTGATTATTAAGTTCAGTAATGTACAACATGCGTTGGGATGTACACCTAAATGTCTCTACCTTATTTCTATAGTTTTTGAACGTTTGACTGTTGTGGTCATTAGAAAACACATTCAGAAAAAGACATTCTCAAAGTTTAAATTTTTTGGACAATAAAAATATTAAAATATGATCAACTCGTAGTTAAAATAAAAACAAGTTTGGGTTAGCAGTAAATGATGAAGGTGGCATTAGTAATATTACACTCAATAAATCTGTTTTACATTAATAACTTTAATTATTTGATTACATATTATCATGTAAGCAATCTCATATTAATAAGTTGATTAAAATTCGACTAAAATTGTTTAAATCTAATAATCAATTCCTTGTTTGAAACGGTCTAGCTATTTTACTATTTATTATTAAAGAAATGGCATAGATTGTCAGTCACCCTCTCTATGACACAATATCCTTGCCCTACGAAAACTGGAAATATTCTAAATCCAAGGATAACTTCCTGCATCCGTATCAAACGGAATTTTGGATTTCTAGGAAATCTTCGTTGACAAGGAGAGTGAATCTATTATAAATTACATTTCTGGATAGGACACTGTTTTGTTTCAATTTTCTCTTTTACGTAACTTGCAGACGTAAACGATTACTATATGCAAAATTATTAAACTTTTTTTTACAATGGTTTGACGTTGATACTAAACAATTTTAAATATATTTCATTAATATTAAAAATTGATAAGTAAATTTATCTTTTTAACTTTTTTGAGGGTGTTTAATATCAATATTTGATTGAACATGAATTATAAAATTATATTTTAATTTTTTATTAATAAAACTAATAAAGTTTATATAGGCTACCGGTGCATCATTACTACTGCAGAAAGGATTGCATATCTTTCAGTCATCAACTATTGTTTTAAAGTAGTACCACTATTTGGGTTTCATGTTTTTTAAATTGTCCTAAAACTAGTTTTTTTTTTAGGTAAAATAATAAGAGTTTCTGATGCTACAAAAACTTGCAAAAATATTGGTAATTTAAAAGCGTTCTGAGTTTTTACAAGGAGTCTGTCACCTTGTGCTTAATATTAACAATATTTGGATGCATTTAAACTTATTAGAATAAATATTTATTATTAGTATCTAGTTCTAGTATCAAATAAAAAATATATTATACTTGTTACTGTAATTGATTTATTTTATTAATGTTAGTTTTTGAGTATCGAACCTGTAAAAATATATTCCACTCTATGCACAAACAACCCTTATTATTACTGACAACATAGTTCACGACTTGCCCTAGCCTTATTTTGACGAGACGAACTGGAAGCTCAAAATCACGCCGTATGCAGCTTCTCTGCAGAGAAAACGGTGTTGCATGCCAGACCAATGTAATTAGAAAATTGCTGATAGTAAATTGGAATTTAATTAGAATTCCTCTAAGAGATGCCGAGTGACACATGGCGTCGAGCCTGTTTATCAAAGTAGTTAACGAGCTCAAAAGCGCAACATTTGGCTCAGTTCTTTGTCTGTAACGAGCTTTACTTTAAGGTTAAGATGATGGTTTAATAGTCAGCATTCGAGTGGGTCAAATGAGTTTGGAAACATACTTTTATTTGTGTTATTTAAAGGGAGGAACTTATCATCTTCAAATTAATTAATACTAAAATAACACCCTGTAGATAAATATTGTTTAATCTATTCGCGGTCATAATGTACAAATAAATATTAAATAGAAATAAAATAAAAATAAATTTTGCGTGGCGAATGGGGCGGCTCGCTCGGATCTTGGTAACAAAGAAAGGCTTTTTGTGTTTTCTATTTTAACGTTTGTGATATGTGCTTCAGTTAGTGGAGTATATTTAACTTTGTTGTATTTATCTCATATTTATTTATGTATGTAGGGTTGTATCTGAAAGGGATTTTTAAATAATATATTTATTTTGATTAAACATTGTGATTCCCGTAGTCTTTACAGGTTTTATTTATACAAGGCCAAGTTGGAAGTAACATAGTTCTTACACTATTGAGACTCGGATTTATATATTTTCTTGTTAAATCCCTTTTACTAATAAACCCCAATACTAGATCATATATATTTGTGACATATTCTGTAACTCTCACCTCTTATGTGACACGTTATATCCATAAAGCACGTATATCGGAACAATAAGATATAGACGAATATTTTTTTAAATCAAAAATATACAAATGAATGAATTTCAGTTTAACCCCAAACTAGTTTTTTTGTATTTATTTTTGTGTATTTATCAAAAAATACAAAAAATTGTTATATTAAATAAACGATTTGTTACTTACGGTAGATCAACTGTAGTTTATTCTTACCTGGAACTAAAAAAAAATAGTATTAGAATCAAATTTAACTAATAATAATGGTTATTCTTCCATATATAATAATAAAAAAATATTTTTCATAATAAATTTCTTTATTAACAATAATTGATCGATATCATACGTATCCCTTTTGGGATTAAAGTGGACTGTATTATATTTTATTTGATATGCTAACTTAAATTAATGTTAACTATTCAATACAATAAACAGTGATGATGTAATTTACAATGGTCCTACTCCAGGCTAGACAACTCACGGAATATAAAAAAATGACAATTATTAATAATGTCGTTTTATGTCATTAAAATTAGATTTAACTTTTATTTATGTATCTAAGGTTTGTATAAAGATAATTCAAATTATACTTAGTTGTATATTATTCATGAGTGTATGAGTGTAGTACAGCTGGCTACTATACTGGAGGACTACGCATTTAATATGAAAAAGAAAAATTTTTGAATATTATAAGGAAAGTGTGGTCAAAGTGATGTGGAACTCTACCGCTAAGCAGTTACAAGAAATTTATTATGAAAAATATAAAATAAAATTTAATCC